GGACAGATGCATATTCAGACTCTACTCAACAAGGAGATTAGAAGAAAGCCTAGGAAAAAACACCTAGTCTAATAATGGAAGTTACTCAGATAACTTTTCCTGATCAATAAAAGTCAGGGATTAATTTACTTGGACTGTGAAACAAGCAAAGCAACAGAAGTATTTAAACATCCGTAGCCTTAGATTTGCTAGGGAACGCTTAGGTGTTGCTCTAACTTGCAGTATTGTTATAAACTTTACCGTCCGCCACACTGTAGGGAAGGCTCCTATGCTCTCTTCACAAAAGCAACTTTGTTCTACTCACATCTCTTTGTCAGCCGAGGCTTGAATCAAAAGGAAACTGGATTAAAGAAAATAAAAGCAGGGGGTGTTAAAGTTGGTTATATAGTCAATGAATGAAGCTACATAATTACAAAGAGAGAAAAAAATGTAGAAGCAGAACACAAAGTTTTTGGATCCCAGAAACAAGCTGAATAAAGAAATTCCTATTTGTAAGCCCACTGGTGTCAGTGGAAGAATTCCTGCTCCTCTCACTGAACTTCAAATCAGGTCTTTGTAGGTCTTTAAACTGCTGTTTAACGTTAAAGAATGACTTATTTTCCTCAAGGTTAATGAAGTCAGGGAGTATTTTTAGTAAGGGATAGCAAAGTTTCCTTAAAGGAAGCATTTGATAAGATGTGCAAAAATTACTGTAATAAAAGGTTCATTTTTGTGCACATCTATCTGTATTGCATCTCATTACGGATGTGAAAAATAGACCTTATTCATTTACTCAGTGAAAGACTAATATTGGTAAACTTCAGGGAACATGAAGTCATCAAAAGCTTTTGAGATTAAAGCCAAACCATGGTATTATGCAGCCCTTCAACTCCACCAGCAAGCTTTTAAGATCAAGTGAGAGAGAATTAGCGAGCAGCTGCTAAAGAAAAGCAGACATAAAAAAAATGTATTGCGAGTCTATCAAATTCCCTGTCTTTCATACTGTTCATGTTGCGTAAGTCTAATAATTGTCCAAAGCAAGTATCAGGTTGGGATCAACCATCGATTCAATTTCTCTTGTTGTTGTGACTTCCAGCGTCTCTGTAAGTGAGCCGCTAGAAGCCCACAATACACCTTGAGCATGTCAGCAGTGCTGTGAAAAGGGATCCTGGTATTTTCTATTAAATTTGTGTGCACACTTACATACACAATAGGGCAAAAGTACTCTCAGTCATACAATTTCACATTCTTGCTTACACACATGCTCACACACGTAAACATTTGGGTTAGATTTGTATGGTTTACATGACTCAAAGGACTTGTTTGGGAGCTGTGTATGGTGGGAAAAACAAACCAGCACAGATGATGATTCATGAGGTGTGGATTGTTTTCATTAAGAAAGAACAAAACACTAGAGCAAAAGAATCCTATTTTAAAAGGAGGCTTCCACACTCCGGCCTGGATCTGGCAGACATCCCACCAGGCAAGCCCTGGATACGGCTCCTAGCAACACCACCAGCCAGCTCCAGCAGCAGAGCCTGGCCATGTTACTTGCCAAGAAAAAAAAAAACAGGGAGTCTCTGAGCTGGAAAAGTCACTCCCAGCTATAGCTTGCAAAGCACATGACAGAGGACAGCCTAGATACGAGCAGAAACCGGGTCTCCGTTTCTGAGCTATTAATCCAACCGTGACCACTGAAAAGCAGCACAGCCTTTTAAACAGACACACACAGCTCTCGGAGCCGCATGTCAGCTAGAGCACGTACGTTGGCCTGCTGGCTTATGTGAACTACCTGGTGACACCCCAGCAGAGCATTCGACTCTCCAAGAATAATGATTCAATAAAAACTTGAGGTGCAAGTCCTCTGGTGCAGTCCCATAGAAAGCATAAGTATCTAGGGGCAAAACTCCCATGGGTAATAGATACAAAAATTCATCCAATCACTTGTAAAAGCCTTGAAATTATAGTTCATCAAAGCAGTTTTGGCCTGAAATTACAACAAAAGCTGCAGTAGGCTTTGATGTTATGTTCAGCTTTCACAGTGCTGCAGACTTTGTCCAATTCCTGGGCTTCTTTCTATGAAATAAAGAGTTTTGCTTGGTACAAGGTTTAGCAGAAATCTCAATCCCATTTCTCTTTAAGAAACCAGGGAACAGAAAAGGCTCTGCCTATCTCAGCAAGCCCAGCGAACATTCCCAACTTGTCCAGGCTATGTGCCCTTTCCTCTTGATATTTCCAGCTTCCTTATAACTTCCTCCCCTTCTACTAGTTGCCTAGCAATGTTTTTGGCTGATGTGACCTCAGCTTCTGCTTTTGTGCTCGACTCAGTTCCCCATTGTTTCTGCAACTCAGTCAGAGAGGCAAGCTTTTTCCATATATGCTGATTATCGGAGATTTGGTTCCTGCATTCACATTTAAAAATATACTGCCTAAAGTTCAACTGTTCTTTATCAGACACAACTCTCCCCCAACACACAATGCTCTAGTTTAACAGAAGCCCTGACAAAATCATGGAGTACAAGAACCTCCTGATCTTTCCAAATACCCCAGGTGACATTTGTATAAGTATTGTATAAGGTCTAATTTTACCTTTGTTTTGAGAAAGTAGTGTTGGCTTCTTATGGGAAAGAAATTTAGCATTAGTTCGCATAATAGCATGTAATATGATTTCTAAATTTCTCTCCAGGCTTCAGATAAAGGTGATACACTGCACCTATCGACACCAGCAAGGTATAGGACTCATAGGAACAGCTGTTGGCTAATTGGATGCTTGCAGGTGAAGAAACAGCAGACTCCTAGGGATGCCAGACAGGAAAACAGAAACAAAAAACAGATCTTTACCTGCTTACTCAGCTAATTCACTTCTGTGCATTTGAACCTTCCACTGACAAACTCTGGATCCTGAATTGCCAGCAGCAGCATCAGGAAGAGCAGCCGCTACAGAAAATACCATAAGGAACAGTTCTTGCTACCACTAACGTACCTGTCACGTGACCATCTAACAGCAGAGTAGCTCAGTGTCTGAGATTCAGGTCGTCTAACCAGGACAGTTAATTATTTCATGACAATTAGAGCCGTTTCGTCATACTTCTGTAGGTGCTTCATCAGGAAGGAGTGATTAAGGACTCAAATACCTTTGCAACTGATTTCATGCCAATCTTTCTTCCCGGAAGAGAAGGCTGTGATTTAAATTGCAGAGTTCTGTGCTTCAGTTCAGAATAGTCGGCAGTCCCAACCCAGCAAGCATCATGGAAAGTCTGCAGGAGCCACAGGTTCTGCTCGGAGGAGAAGGGCTGGGTTTACTGGGCGGGGGGCTAGGGAAGAGGGAGGTCTTTCACACCCTGCCTGAATTCCGAGCAGCATGAGCTTTGGAGCCTGTATCACAGATGCTGAGCTTCCAGCCTCAGTTTACCACAGGAAACCCATTATCTGTCAAAAGCTGCATCTTCATTTGAAAAGGAGAGCTAAATCCAATCCCCATTTCCACTCCCCAGGCCGGTAACCTATCAGGTTAACTCTGTTAACAACTTTCCCAGCTTGGCAGCCCATTTGGCTAATGCACATTTTGGACTTGTCTTTGGAAAATTAAGGTGAATTAGTTCAAACAGCGAGGGTGGTGCATATTTGCTCACTTCTTTCCCCCCATTGTTCAACCCCTTCTCTTCCCCAAGGGAGAGGGTTGGTATGTTTTAACATTAGCATGCTGTTAGTTGATACACTGCAGCTTCCTAATGGGCCTGTGCATACAGTTTCAGAAATCTCTACTGCACGTACTCTCCTGTAGTGGGCAAGCAACATGAAAGTTAGGAGAAACCTCTGGGAAACAAAAGACCCCAGACTAAGATGGGTAGGCTATAAAATGTAATTGCTGATTTAAGATAGGTAGCCTACAAAATGCAATTGCTGATTCAATGACTTTTTCTCTGCAGATTTTTGCAGCCAGAGTTAAACAGGGAGGCAGCAGGGACTAACTGTCTCTTATGGCTTCTTTCTCCACACAACAGACTGACACATCCCCTTTTCTACTCACTGTTAACCATAGAGAATGTGTGGCTCCCTTGGCGCTTAACTTGTGTAAAAGCATTAATTGAAATAGCACATTAATATACATATGGTTTATCAACAATAATTGAAATTACTAATTAACCAGTTGTTATTCATTGATTTGTTTTAAATTTTCCATTATATGTACTCATTTCAGTTTTCTTGTCTGATCTTGGATTTTAATAATCACATTTCAACCAATACTGCACTTCCACGTCTTGACTTTAAAGACGTGAAATAAATGAAAATGAAAATAAAGAGGTCAGCTATACACTGTGATTAATAGATGTCTATATAATATTGACTTGGAAAATCATCTTGAGGCAATTATCAGTCCTGTAAAACTCACCTGTCCTTGTTGTGAGCATGAGATTAAAACCCAAGAAAATACCCCTCCATGCATTCACCGTGACTCATTTTTCAAATATTGTCCTGTAGGGGGTAGAAAAGATTTTTTCAAAGCATTCTGATTAACCAAAAATCCAAACAGTTATTACAGTATTATCTTGAAGTAGTAACACTTAGGAAGACATCGATGATTAATGGAGTTTACGTAGGATTAAGTTTTCAGAAGCAGTCTGCCCCAATCTGATGAGTCAGTTGTTAGGTATCTAAAATGGCAACATGCCGACCCCAGCAATCTGACATTTAAAGTGACATTAACCTGCAGGTTATCATAGGTTGGAAACTTCTGCTAAATGAAAGGGTTGGAAATGGAACTAATGTATTGCAGTTCTGACAATCGACTCTTTCGTAACAATTTCTGAAAAACATTCCAGATGAAAACAAACGAACAGGGAGTGGAAGGAGAAGCTAGAAAGCATTTTCCACTTTCTTCATCGTTCTGCTGGAGAGCGGGGGGGGGAGGGAAAAAGCAACCCACCCAGCTCGATCCTAATTGCCATCCTTTACACTATTAGAAGTAGAGACTTTAAAAGCCTTATTTCAAATTTCTTTCCATGCCTTTCTTCCCCTAGGAACTGGTGTTCCTTTATGCAGTCCCGACTGGTAACATACATAGAAGCCTGCATGAAGGAGAAGTACATTGTCAACTCTCAACAGCCCTGTCCAAATGGAGCACCAGACTGCCAGAAGATCATGTAAGTACCCTAAATAAAACCCGTGGAGGCAACAGAATCTTCAAAGTATCTAAATGAGGTTTTAAAAAGTATTTAATGACACATTTTAAAAAGAATTAAAGCACCAAAATCAGTTTAATTCCAAAGTGATGTAGGGTCTGATTTATGCACATAAGGTGTTTAAGCATCTAAGTGACCTGGGAGAACAAGTGCCTTTTTCAAAGCTATCAGGTACTGGGCTACAATGCAGTTAAGTGATTTTGAAAAAACTGCCCATGGTTACTTTGTCCAGAGATCATACCATATCAAATAACGTCCAGCTTTTCGCATAATGGGCGCTCCCAAGCGGACATTTACAGCCATCTTCAAAGAACAACCAGACGGGGGGCTTCATATGAGGTTGGGTTAATTGCTTCCGTACACTACACATGTAACCACCTCTTATTAAAGGATGAGTATGCCATGAGCAGTTGTAAGTAATATAATAATTATTTGGTAAGGAAATTACTAAATGAGGAGAACCTTAAATTGATCTCACATGGCTGATAAAAGGAGTTGATAGATCCACAAATCATCCTTCATGTCCTACAAACATGTGCAACGTTATAGGAAGTCTGTCTGAGGACGTCAGTGAGACCATTCACAGGGCAGGAGTTAGATGTGCAACTCCCCAAGCGCTTACTGTTCTTTTGGAAGCAAGGGCTGCCCAAGGAGCGCTGGAGAGCGCCCTTAAGGTACCAAGACTGTTACACATTTATACTTGAGAGACGTTGACTCAGGCCATAGTGAGTGAAATAACACTTAATAATAACACTTAATCACCTATATGTTTTCACATCTATGTAGTTAATTGATTGCTAAAAGGATTTTAGTATCTGTTAATAGATTTCTCTCTGAACTGAAATATTTTTATGAGTGTTTCTAGCAGGGCTTTTAACCAGTTTCTATCTTTCTTGGTACCAGCACCATTCTGGAACGTTTACTTGAAAATACAACTTTCTCTACGACTCATAAGAATGCTAGCAAAGTTAAAGCTCAGTCCAAACTGGATTGTAAAGGTCTATTACAATAAATACTACAGTTGTGTTTCTGATAGCTACAAAAGTTCACCAGCTATGACCCACCTGGTTTAAGACTCCAGTCAGATCTCCATCAGTGACAACACGTTTGGAAAAAATATCTACTGGAGAAACATTAAGAGCACGAGGCAGATCACCAGAGCCCTGCTCACTAAATAATATCTATATGATGCCTGCGTGTATGAACACCTCCTGTTATAAAAAGTAGCCCTGAAAAGCAATCCTATGTGGAGGGAAAAAATGTTATCAGCTGTGGACTGCTTAAATGCTTTACTGAGCTGTAGCGAAATGGTTTATAACAGACTTATCCGCTTTCTGCATTAGTTATGTAGGACACACTGGGCACCAGACTGCAGTTAGAGTCAGTGAATTTACCCTGACTGACACCAGCTGACACTAACTTGACTCTAATGCCCAGACCCTTATTCCCCAGGTACAGGACAGCTCTGAAGCCAATCTATCAAGTGAAACAGAAGGTTTGGAAGTCTTTACAGTGGAAGTGCTGCCCTGGATTTATTGGCAAGGACTGTGAACAGCGTGGTAAGGAAAGCTAGAGGGCATGAATGAGAATGAAGACTAAACTAGTCTTAATTTCGACTAAGAATTAAGACTTAGCCTCTCCTAGTTGCATGGTCAGTGATGGTGCAATCCTCTCTCTGATTTTCAAGAAACTAGGTGCAAGAGATCTAAGCTGGAAAAAAAAGAATTGGTCCATGGATTCAGACTTCACAGATTTTAAATCTATCTTGTATTCCTCTGCCTAAAGAAATAACATTTTGCTTATGTGGTTCTCCTGTTCGAGAATCAAGGAAAGGACTATGCCTTATTTTCTTTGGTCTGTTACACCCAAAATCACCCATACCTTGAAACAAGGGGTAGCTGTAATTAGCATCAACTAGTAGCTATTATTATTAGCCACTTATTCTTCTATTAGTAGCACTGTGGTAATTTTACACATGGAGAAAGGTATTCATTTGCTGGTGGGCCAGTCAGATGTAGAAATCCATCCCAGAATGCTTAATTCCAAGTAGAAACTGGTAACATCAGAAAGCGACAATAGTATGTGAAATTGCCCATAAGGTCAGTTTATGGGATGAAGTCATCTGTTAGGGAAAGCACAGCGCCTCCCATTTCAAACGGTAGGTAGGGTTCATGCTGCTGAGCCCACATTGCTGCCTCCTCCCCACGGACTCCAGCCGGCACGCTCTGGTACCCAGTCCTACGGGAGGGAGCAGCCGTACGACACAAGGATACATCCACAGCTGTTACTTCCACAGAAGTTCTAGCAAGAGACTTTACACGCAAGGAAGTACTACAGCTCTTTGCACTGTTGAATAATGATGTGTGCAGCTGCTACGTAAAAGAGAAGCAGGATAGCATGGTTTAAAAACTGGAATGCTTGATGACATTGGTAGAATTTAGCAAATAATGCAAATTTTCAGCAATTTTTTTTTTTTGCAATTTTTCAGCAATTCAAAAGCAGAATGAGAGTGTAAATGACTAAAAGATATTTCCATAGTAATTTAAAGCAACTATAACCAAAAAACCATTTGTGTGAAAACTTTCATGAATCTTTGTCTAACCCACCTACCCAAATAGATTCCCCAGATAAAATGGGAGCTCCTTTTTATTTTTATTTTTTTAAATCTCTGTAATACAGTTTAGCTTTTCTTCCCAGATTTAACTCTAAGGACAACTTTCATTTATAACATTAGAAGGATGTTATCAAATGCAGTACTTCTAGTTTAGTCTCTCTTCTGTAACACTCGTTTCCCAAAAACAGCTGTCTCATCTTTAATTCCTCATTTGTATGGTATCAGTATAGCTGCTATCTGCTACTGTCCAAATGTTTAGTTAAGGGTAGGACAAGAAAGAGGAATTTGCGGACATTTGGACAGGACCCCCCACAAAAAAATAGCTACTTGCTATAGAATCATTTCTTACAGGTCAGTAAATCAGCATGAATTAGAAATCCTGCAGCATAACATCGTCACCTCACCTACGCAATGTTGTAAGCCAGCGCAGTACTATAAGCTAAGAAAGTTCTTCTGACAAGATGTTCTTTGCCCTAAGGAATCTGCAGTGCAGAAGCCTGTCACTGCATTGGTTACATCCGTGAAAAAGCTTCAGGAACGCATTTTAGATGCGGAAGCTACTAGAATTTAGCAGGCAAGGAAGGGCAATTTCACGTGTAATGTATCACATCTCAATTGCAGATCCCAATTTTATTCTGGTGCCAGCAAATGAGACTGAAGGACTGGAAGAGGAGGAGTTCTCAAACCACAGTATGTTCTTGAACTTACTTTGCTTGCAGTTCTTTTACCTCTCAGCCACTGATCGAATCAAAAGGATGATTTTTCAGCTGTTATTTTAATATCATAAGCAACAGACTATCTCTAGTGAAAGGATTATTTGGGAAAGCTTTTATACCACTACATTTCATTTATTGTCATTAATGAGGGCTTTCATTGTAACACTCCATGAGCGCTCTAGACAAAAAAGCCAAAAGGCGCAAAATTGTAAGCTGGCTGGTCATCAGGGATACCTAGTAAGAATGCCAGCTGGTTCAGAGAATTACATCTTTCAACGGTATGGATGTTTAACTCCTTGTCCTGTCAAGTGGATTCAAAGGAAAGCATGCCATGCTCAAAAGTCTCACCAGAAAAACAGTCCATTCAAAATGCTATCTTAGAGTAGCTATCCAGGGGCTCTGAGTGTACAATTATGAGGTGCTATAGATTCACATCTCAGGCACTCTGTCCTGTCAATCTGGATGCTTTGGATACCTATCCAAAAGAGACCTTTCCTTACCCTCTGGGAAATGGTGTAGCTTGTGGCTATTAAGTATCTTCTAACAACTGGCTTTAGGGTAGTATTACAACCCTGAAAGAGAGTCTCCTCTCACATTATGCTTTCAGCACTGAAGGAATAGGCAGTTGCTTTACAGGACTTCAGTTTATGTAAAATATTAGATTGAAAGGTCAAAGGTAACCCCTGAGGGTAAGAGGCCCCCAGGCTGGCCCAGTTAAGCTACACCAGTTTCTGCAGCTCTCAGCATACATTTTGAATTCTACAGCTCAAATTACCAGGTACTTATTTAGAGTAACATCAGTTAAAGGGGCCTTCAAGAGAGTCTGCTAGGACACTTAAACGCCATGCTTGGGAATCCTCAGTGAAACATCTTAGCTGCTCTTTCATTGTCCTTTTGTTCTGGGCTGATAAACTTTGCTGTCTTTTCAATCAATTGGCTTAAAAGCAGTCATTATTCCAGAATGTTTTTATGGTGTGTGGAGGTTTCAAATCAAGAGCATTTTACTGACATTATAACTAGCATGGCTGAAGTTCTTCCGCTAGTATTTTAATGTATTAATATTTAAGTTGTCATCACTGGTGAAAAAAGAACCTGCCCAAAGAAACTAGAACTTAAGCTGCTATAAACCAACAAGCCCCTAAATGTCAGTGCAAAAATTTTCAGAGCAAAAAGTATACTGGTGTTCTCAGAGCTTGCTGGGCTTGCAGAAATGCCTGTCATCTGGCTGCCGCACTCTGTTGCATTACTTCTTTGTTTTTAAATCTTGTGATTAGTGGCAACATCAGTGGATTCAAGAGAAATGTTGGAAGTCATTCAAAATCATGAGGCATTACTGGATGATCTTCAAAATGATATTCATCAAGCAGTCAGCAACTTAGGTGACTTGCAGAGAATATTTGAGAACAACAATACAAGCACGGTGTTCGAAGTGAACCAGAGTAAATCAGGTGAGAGGTCTGGCACAGAATTATCAGCCTGCAAGTAGGCACTGTCCTCGCTAAACTTCAACGCGCTCCGTTGAAACATTAAAGTTAAAAACCAAATGATAGTATAATTCACACCAACTACGAATACTTCACAGCACTTTTCAAATTATTTAACGCTGGCCTGGAATATTCAGATTTTAGCATGCCGTATAACTGTGTGAAGTACAAGGTGCATGGTAGAAAGCAACAGGAAAAGAAGACATTGTAAAATAGTAAAATAAACAAGAGCACGCTAGCTAGGAACTGCTGTGAAAGTGGCCAGTTATGAAACTGCTGTCCAGGGATTTCCAAGTGTATTATTTTTCTGAAGTAAATTGGGTAGTCAATACATCTCAGTTACTGTCTGCAGACTCAAAGACGCAACTTGTGTTGCGTCAAGCTTCATTTAAAATTGGGTTATTCTTGCAATTGCAAAGATTTAGCATGGTCTCAGATTCTGAGGAAAAAGATGGCAGTCATTGCAGAGAAATACTTACTTGAGTGAACCAGACCAGATTAGGATGCTTTCTGAAAGCGGAGCTTAAAAGAAAAATTAAATTTAAATTCATTTTAAATTAAATTTAACTTTCTGTTTTAACAGAATTACAGGAAAGGCTTCTGCAGAAAATTCTGTTTCCCCATATGGAGAATTTTCTAAGGAAACATTTTAACCCAATATGGGCAAGCTTCAACAGAAGCTTACAGAACCTCTCCAGCATGGTGAGAAGCCTATCTCACGCCGTGGAAGCCAACAAGAAAAGCATTGAGAGGTTCCAAGAAAGCACTGTGCCTAAGAAGGAGTTCCAGGAGCTGGGAACTAAGTTTGAATCTAAAGTTCAAGAAAATGTGGTGAAAGTTGATCAGGTAAAAAGGGATATAGATAACCAACTGCAAATGCAGCAGGCTAATATCCACTATAATCTCACCATGATCAAGGCAGATACTGACACAAAGCTCAAGAAGTATCACAAGATACAGCAGTCCCATTTCTCAGCTTTGAACAACAGCATAACAAACATGAAACAAGAGCAAAATAATCTTCAAAATAAATTTGAGGCTTTGAAAAGAAATTTAACCGAACTCTCCTCACATCATGGTCCCAAAGATGAAAATAGCCAGTTAAGCATCAGACAAATAAATGACGTTCTGGCAGGGCATGCAAAGCAGCTTAAAGAACTTCACATGGAATCAGATGTGGCCTTTCAGAATATTGTAGTTTTAGAGAGATGGTTTAAAGAGTTAAAAAAAAACATCTCAAAGTATAGACCAGAAGATCTTACAATAGCTTTAATGGAGAAATCACTTATTATTCAAGAAAACAAAGCAGCAATGGAAAGGCAGATATCAGAGCTCAACTACACTCTCTCAAACCTTCAAGAAAATTATTCAGATCTGTTGAGGTACATGGAGGAGTGTAATTGCCAGAAAATACCTTCTGACGCTGATTTACTGGAGGAGGATTTAAGGAATATCACTTACTCCCTTGAAGGCACCCAATCAAACTTAACAGATATGCAACACTTAGAGTCAGTTTTCAAGGATCTCTTGAGGAACGAAATTGAAGAGCTCTCCTCAGCTTTTCCATCTATCCATCAGTCCCTTAATCTCCGTCAAGAAGAAAACAGACAGCTTCAGTCACAGGTTAAGGCTTTTTCAGAAGATATTGGCTTCTTGAAAAAGAAAGATGAAGAAATTCATAGACACATCAAGTATCTCAATAGTTCTTTCAGCTCTCTTTTGGAAGATGCAATGCGGCACGAAGCAGCACTGGAGGCTCTACTGGGAGAAGAATTTATGGAAGTCTTGTTTGAAGAAGATCCTAGTACGCTAATATCATCAGTAGTTCAGCTGCAAGAATCTCTCAGGTACACTGCAGAGAAGCTCCAAGAACAAAACGTGACTTTAGAATCTCTTGCCAAGAGATTTCAGCTCTTGGAGAGAGGTCAACAGAATCATCACGATGCTCATACATCTCCTAAGCATCCCAAAGAGGAAATACAAACATCTGCTGCTCTGGATGAGGCTAATGGTCAACGCAGCAACATGGAACATATGGAACCTAACTATGAGGCTGCCAAAGATGACTCCTTGGATAGCTCAGCATATAATGATATTATGACTCTGAAGAATGATATCAAACATCTGAGCCTGGCAATCAAGAGGCATGAATCAAGAGCCGACATTAATCTCTGCTGCAATCATACAATACTAAATGCAGTGGAGCCGCTCAACATTTCTGTGGAAATTCTCTCAGCAGATTTAGCAACCATCAAACAGAAGTTAGAGGAGCATCTGTGGATTTTTAAAAAACTGTTTGGAAGCAATGAAGAACTAGTTGCCTCGAATGTAAGTCTGGATATTACAAAGATTCAGTCAATGCTGACCAGAAAAGTCAGAAGGCAACAGAAAGGTCATGACAAGCAAAGAGACAAAAAAAAGTCTGAAAAGCACAGAGAAAATACACAGACAATAAGTGGAAGAAATACAGTGCAGACAGAACTTTTGGAAAAAGGTAGGTTCTTTTCTTTTGCTTGTTCATGTGCAGGTCTAGCTTCTTTCTGGGCCCTGCTGCAAGCACTGGATGCCGTGCCCCACACAGCACAAACTGTGGTAGCTAAGCGTTGTCTTGTGGGATGCTGGAGGGAGAACTTTTGACATTGTTTCCATCCTTCCCCTCCATCTAAACAAATAGCTCGAAGAAGAATCAAGTTGATACACTGGTTCACTTTGCTTGAGGCCAAAAAAGTTTCACCCTTTATAGCTGCTAGCAAATTAACCTTTAACTAATTCAACTTTACACGTTTAGCCTTCGTGTTTTGTTTGTAGATGGTCATGTTAACGTAGTAGAAGTTTTCTCTTTTGAAGCTGATGGGGAGTGCTGGGCTTCCTGGTTTTGCCTCTTTCTCCTCTGTTACCTGAGAGCAGTGGAAAAGCTAACTACAAAGCTGTATCTGTTTATATCACAGACCACGAGGACAGAACAAATGGGAACCCTCACACCTGCTAAAGCCCTGATCTTGCTGGCGTGGGTGGGTGGGCAGGTTGCTGTGAGGCTCACTGCAGCACCCTCTCCCAGGACAGATCAAAGGGTCTCAGACCAAGGCTAGAAGAACCATTCTGACACCCAACACACTGTAAGCCATGGCATTTCACAGAAGTATCCCCATAGCAAACTCAGTAGCTGTCAACTGAGGCTGAGTGTATCTTTGAGGAAGAAATTTGACTAGCAGAATGTGACTATGTCCCTAGGAAAACTGTTCCAAAGCTTTATTTGTAGTACTTAACAGGCCAGTCAAGTACTGGTGGTGAATAAGGTGAGAAAGGGCAGTTTGCATTGTCTCACCCTCCTTCCCTCCTCCATCACCTGTCATGATAGCTTGTGTGGATGCACTAACCAGGCTGAAGGTAGCCCCCAGTCCTGCCCTCCCCAGCTCCATCCCTCTCTGGCCTGCCAGATGAGGGGTGCCAAAGGACTGCCACCTGCAGCCCTTCCTTGCTTATAAATGTGGCGCCCCATGCAGGTGAGGCTTGGTGTTTGCCTCACACTATCACTACTGCAGCCCTATGTACACATGACCCCCCAAAAGCAAGTTTTTTGCCAGTCTTACTGTGTCTGTTCTGAACGCTTTTCAGTCTTTCAGTATAGGTAATGCGAGAGTAGGTGTCAGGACAGGATCAGGGATTTGAGTAAGTGCCTCACAGAGGCACACTGCTTTACAAGCTCTCTGCTCCTGCTGAGAGTCGTTGCCAGGACTCAACAGCTTGCACGTCCAAAAGCTTGACAGATTTTTGTAAGTTTTCTCAACTATGCAAACTAGTCTTCCTGACCTCTCATTTTTGAAAGTCTTTATTGATAGTCTTATTATCGCTACAACAAAAGTAACTCTGTTATACTGAGAAAGAAAATAGATGCTTTAGGTCATAGAGAAGGTGTCCAAAAGACTATCTAGAAGTAAGGACAAAATTATTGCACAGTGCCCGATATGCTGAAGCTTTGTTTCATGACTTCAGCTCCTGTATGGCTAAAATAATAAAAGAAATAATAGATTGCTAATTCCTTAAGGCATGTTTTGTGAGGACTGCTCATTTCGTATCTGATTGATTTCAATATTTTCCTCTGACTTCTTTACCAGTTTGAGTTAAACTGTAAACAGTCTAATATCCTTACATACAGAACAAAAATCATCAATAATACTACAAATATTTCTAATTCCAAAAAAGCATGGACTATTCAAACATGTATACGTTATTTGGGGAAACTATTATTATAAAAAAAATTATCTTGAACGCCACTTAAATATTGATTCAGATATTCTCTTTTCAAGAGAAGTGACATGTCTATACTTGCTTGTCATGACGTTTACTGTCAAGTTTTATTTGGATGTAATTAAACGTCTGTACAAACTAAAAAAAGACTACTTCTGTCAGCACAATGCAGGAGATGCAACTCAGAATAGACTGCTTGATTTTTTTAGTGACTATGATATATGATGGGGTAAGAACGGGGATAGCTATTTTGCTGACGATAGAAGGTGGAATGACTTTGCAGCTTGTTCAAACCCAGGTTAACCAAAACAAACAAACAAACAAACCAACCAACCACCAGCAATTATCTTATAGTAGCACTGTAAAAGAGGACACTACAGAAGATCTCAAGGAGAGTACCTTTCCCACAGGTTTTACAATGTGCATACAAAGTGGAAAAGGAGAGGAGAAGCAAAACAAAGTGTCCAGCCAAGGTCAGACAGTACAGTCAAATCTTGACTCCCAGTTCAGTGCCTTAGCCCCTATGTCATATTGCTTCACAGAACTGAGCAGATATGCTTTCAAAACTTCAAAAGCAGCCCATTCAGGTTTCCTCAGGGAAACCAGGCTCTCTACAGAGAAGGCAGAAATCAGACCGGTGAGCTTTACCCTGTCTCCTACCTTGGTAACGTGGGGGAGAGAAGAGCGCTCTTTGTTAAAACGGTGTTCCTTTCCCCTCTCTTGTTTCAGGCCCATCGGTGGCGTTCCACGTGGGATTCTCAGAAGGAAGCGATACAGGAAAAACTCTGCGGTTTAACGAAACACACCTCAACTATGGAAACAGCTATTTCCCTGAACACGGCTACTTTAAAGCACCACATAGAGGTGTCTACTTGTTTGTCATCTCTGTGGAGTTTAGTTCAGGACCAGCGATAGGACAACTCTCTTTTAGCCGTGGGTACAAAAGAACTCTCTCAAGTAGTCAGAGGAAAACAGCAAATGGAAATACCATGACTACTTTTGCTATAGCAGAGATGGAGAAAGGGGAGAGAGTATGCTTTGAATTGCTGCAGGGCTCTGTAGTGAAACGGAGCCCACCTGGGACAACAATGGGTGGATTCCTAATATTTAAAACTTGAATACTGACAGTTTATTTTAATGATATACTTCCATAGATGCAATGGACCGATTCACTACTGCTTCATCTGTGATGTATTCAATCCTACTGCATGTGTTTAAACATAGCACTATCCTAGATTTGTTTTCATGCTTCTTTTCTGAAGTGTTTGGCTTTTGATTATTTGCTTATGAGCAGCAATGGGATTTTCTTTCTGTGATAAACTAATCGTTTGGACTCCAAGTGCACACATTCCCAAATCCTTTCACTGTGCAAATTACAATTAAAGAAACTGCTTTGTGGGACCTTCTTCTTCGACCGCAAGACAAATTATTTCTTTTTCCCTGGCAAAAGAATACCTTCTCAGTGGCAAACATACCTCTACTGACAAGGAAAAAAAAATCAGGAAAGAAAATATATTAACTCTTAAAGTGTGTAAGAAGTAGCTCAAAATCAACAACCCAGGACAATGTTACCTCTTTGTTCTCTGTCATCAGACTCTTGAGAACTTCTGCAATTCACTCCAATTCATAAGAAGAGAGGAATCAAATCCAGTAAGACGCATGCTCTGCAAGTATTTGTAGAGTCTTTTCCTTCTAGGCCTGTGTTGTACTTCAGTTGAACTGCCAAGCTTAATAGTAATATAACATTGTTAGGATGAATTAGATCTACGTTAAAACATTAAGAAAATTTTGACAATATTCAAAAAATACTAGTGAAAATGCAATTTAAGTTAAAGATGTCCCTGAAGAATTTTAGTCCTGGTGCTCCAGCATTTAGTAAGTAGTTTAAAACCAAGTAAGCAAACAAGCAAAATTAATAGCAAAAAGACAAATACATTGGTCGACTGTCACTGTTGAATAGAAGATAAATTTAAAATTAAAGTAAGCCAAAAAGTGGAATTTCTGAACTGTGTTCTTTTTAGCTTCTAAGATTTCAAAACGACCTTGCCTGGTCTTGTCCCAGACTTTTTTTTCCCCCTGTCAAATAAAATATAGCAAAGGCTTTCAACTTTAAAGAAGTTCAATTATTGTGTTTTTTTCCTTGTCCATCCTAATGCCTTACAAAACAACATTAAAACAGTTTAATTTGCCAAAATGAAATGCATTTTTAAATTCCTAGTATTTTTGATGAAAGAGGTATAATCTTATAAGCCCTTTCAAGGTAGTACTTTTTCTAACGGAAAACTAACCTATTGTTAAGGTTCCCCTCCCTCCCCCCCCCCATAGATTTGGACTCTAAGCAGCAATGAACTATAGAATTATTAAAAACCACTAGTACTGAAGTACTGATATACAGTGCACTTAGGACAACAGGTTGACAAGCAGAGAATATGCATCTTTTGAAATAAAGCTAGAAAGTAAGTTTTAGCTACTTACTTGCTGATAAGATTACTACTCTATTCCAAAAACCCCAAAGCAAATGATTAAAATAGTACTTTTTTAAGAAACTGAAAACCAGTATGATTAAAGACCCCTTCAATATGAGATTTCAAAATAAAGGGCCACAGAGAGAGGACGATGCAGAAGTTCAACAACTCTTGAAAGACAAAATACCACCTCTGACTTTATTAAACCATGCCCACCCACCTACTCCAAGTCAGTGCTAATTTTCACATGAGATTAACTGGACAGGTCTAACCACCTATCTAGCACAGAACCAAGCTTCTCTGCAGCAGGCAGTGCATAAAGCCCACAAGCTTGGTGTCATCTTCTGTCCTACAGATTGCTCAAATACCTGAGGAAAGATGGGAAGAAAAATCTGAAGAGGTGAAGCATCAGAAAGGAAGAAATGGATCACATCGTTAAGAGTGGGATTTTCAGTAAAGAGCCACCATACTTGGGTGACCAAGCCATTTTCACCAGCATGCCTCCATTTATGGGCTTTTCGTGGTGGCAGCATTCTGCAGCGTCAAGAGTGCTGCATAGGTCAGGCTGAGCATAAGGTACCTGTTCTCACACTCTGGGTTCAGTGCATACCAATTCGGCACCTACCAGCTAAGTTCCAAAATTAAACATAAAGGGCCTTTTTTTTTTTTTTTTTAAATACACTTAGTTTTTAAAGCTTTGACAGAAAGCTTCAACTGGAATGAGAGCCATGTGGCTATTTGGAAAGAGATACGGTAGGGAGTAGAAAGCAGGCAACAGGGAAAGGTGATCACCGATCCTCGCAGTTCACCCAGACAAGACTTCAGAAGTTTTGGTGTCCCTGTGCTTAGAGCTCGTTTTTGTTGGAGGATAAGCCAGACAAGTTCAGAGGTCATCTACTCCAGAATGAACACTATAACAACATAAAGATATTTTCATGTTCATATTTTTCAAATATGTGCTCAAGTTAGCCACCTGCATGTACAAAGAGCTAACTTAACTTGAACACAATCATTTTCAGACCACAAAGCAAAAAATGAATGAAAGATATGGGTTCAGACAGTCTACTGGCTGCATGAGCCAGGAAGCCTGACTTCCTTCTCCAGTGACAAGAGAAAAAATGATTAAGTTACTGCTTATCAAATATGAATATATCATTTAAAATATATCATTTTAAATAAACTTCCACTTAAATCACCTCCCAAAGTAGCATGCCCTTTGACTACTGCAAATGACTTTCAATCCTCCCCCACAAACATTTTTTATTTTTTAAATTAACATCGCCACAAGACTGTGACCTGCATTTTTATGCAATGGACTAGAGAAAATCATTTTAATGAAGAGAGAGTAAAGTCTGGATTAGGACCTGCAGCAAATAAAAAGTTGCCACAAAACTGGTAGTTAGTATTTGTCAGACTAAATACAGCATTGCTAATAGCATGTAAAACTCCATATAGAGAGGTTGAACTGTGATTTTCTTTTTTGTTTAGATAAGTGACAACTAATTGACACAGTTTAAAGTGTAGCCATTGGTGGGCTCGGTGGATTAGGGATGGGCGACTTACAAACACAAAAAACAAACTGAAGCTGACCATGGCCATTATAAAGTGAGAGTCATCTATAAAAACAGCTAGGTTGCTTCAGTTTAACTCATGCTAGACCAATTAAAATAGCGTGCCTGATGGCAGTTTCAGCCATCAATAGCTATAGAAATGTATACACTAACTTTATAGATTTCTCCTTTTTCATTTAGGATTGAGATCTTTCCTGTAAGTGAGAAGGCATGCACTGCAAATAGACTCTCAGGCTGAGCATCATCTTAAAAAACAAGTAAATAAATAAACAAAAAAACACCCCCCATAAAATCTCCCAGCCTTCCAGCTTTCCTGAACACGTCCCAAAAATCCTGTAACGGGCAAAAAAAAAAAAAAAAAAAAAAAAAACCCCACATTATGCTGGTAGTTCAGGTTTCTGGATTTCCAAATCAAACCTCTAAGTTCTACAAAAAAGATAAAAAAGCTGTGCATCTTTTAGCATCTTTGCATAATTATTTTGTTATTACTGAAACTTCTACTGCTTTATGAATGTATTTTATAGTGCTTTACATTTTTAGATTAAAGTCTGTTCTTTTAGTGTTTTTCTTTTCCATTACTAAGATGATCTCCTTATGTCACTGAAAATATATATGCACCCATTGTATTCCAACAATTTTACTTTCTATAGATCCATCAGTGCCTAAATTCTGCAATTAGATCCATGTAAACTCATTTTACATTTCCACATCAAGCCAGTATCTCAAGTCCATGGTGGCCCACCCACTGCAGAGGTCCTCTCATAAATCAGACTCACAGCTATTATTGAAAGACTTATTACATTAGCACCACTGAAAAAGACTGAACTGGTATTTTGGGAAGAAGAGAGAAGAAAGGTAAAGAGAAAGGAATAAACTCATTTATAGAACTAAATCAAATCCTTTCTGAAATTAGTGAGACTTCTGCAATTCATTTAAAAAAGCTCGTGATTCATTTTGCCAATTATTCAGTTTGCTTTCTGGCATGCACACAAAGCATACCTGTGGGACTTTTCAGAGATGTTAGTGGATATGACTATATGATGTTATAATAGCCCAAATGTTTTTCAGTTCTTAAATACTGATGCAAGCTTAGCAGTGAAAAGATTTTATATAAACGTCAAAAAATGTTCATACCTAAACTGTAACAGTTTGATATCTATTATTAGCAGGCAGTAGAACTTGTTTTCAGTTATCACCTCCCCCACACCACTTTTTCCAAAAGAATCCTCCTGTCTTTAGGATATGGCACCATCCTGTGGGCACACCAAGGAGCAACATGAAGAAAAAAATTAAATGCCTGGTCAAAACAAAGACTGGTATAAAAGTTACATTTGCTCTCAGTATTTTCATTATGCTATCCCATAACGTTAACCTCCCCGTCCCCAAACACACACAGTTCTCAGCCCAGCCATGATCAGTGTAATCAGGGAAGTTACTCTATACAAACTACACAACAACCACAGCCATGAAAAAAAAAAAATTACTCTGTCAAGACACTAACTGTAAGGAGAGATCTTTGCGCAGTGGAAATTCCTGTTCTTACATATTGAGGAGAAAAGGTTTAAAACCGGAAGTTATGTCTTCTACTGTAGTTTCTGAAACTTTAAGGCAAGAATTTATTACTTGATTCTATAGAAAAAAAGCATTATAATTATCTTTATAATACACTTAAGAGTGCATATGATGCTTGGATATCAAACCTTTCTAGCTATTGTAAACAGCTGTCTCCAAAGTAAAAATTATTCCTCACCAAAACATACTTTTACATTGACAAAAACAGGAATAGAAACTGATCTTATTTTTTTTCTTGCAAACTAGAAGTGAATTCTATGGAGTATAGTAGCTGGTGCATTTCTGCATTCAGAAACCATATTCTGAGATTTCATAGACTCACGTACTCCAAGATGAGATATTGCCTTATTAGTCTTCATTTATGTGATGCAGAATGAACTCAGCAGGCTACACACAAGAACCTAATTTTGTAACCAATAGCACATAATTATACTACCTCAATCTCATGATTTGGGTATTACTACGCTGAAAGAATGCAAGGTAAGCTTGACCCACGAAAAAAAAGTATATAAAAACATGTGGTGGACTTAACACGTTCAAAAAAATAGAATTTATTCAAGTTTGACTTGCTTCTGCCTTTACTATAAACCAAAGGAAAAAAAAATCAGAGTTAAAATAAAAAAAATGGTTTTACTACTGCGCCCAACTTTAAAGCAAGAACGTCACCTGAAACAGAGCACCAAATAATTCTGAAGACCATTAAATAATAAAAAAAGATCAATAACAACTTACTTACACATTTTGAAAAAAAAACAAAGTTTTAAAAAGAAGGGCAATATTTAGTTATGATAATTTCTAAGTCATTACATTTTTAAGGCAATATCTTATAGTAATACAAAACACATACTAATGCGTACTAAAATAACGTTATTTACTTAAAAATGATACATTGGACATAAACTGTGTACAGAACAAAGCAACTCATGGTAAACTCAATAAGGCACCTTTTAAAGCAGATGCTGTACAAAATACATTAGTGTGTTACATTTTTAAAGGAGTATTCTACACTTCTGGCATATAACACACGTAAGAGTGTGACCATTCTCCTTGTTCCACCCTTCTTTCATATTTTATTTACATCTTCTTAGGTTAACTACAATGTTATTCTTCTTGTATACAATATAGTACATTTCATTTTGGGCATGGTATGTCAGAGCACAAATGTCACTACGTGATGTGGGCTTCTATAATTGCGTTCAAAGATAAAACATTACAAGGCAACAATTACATGAGATTTGTTCAACAAATTAAGAACAATGTGCGCTCCACTTCCGCTATACCAACCAAGGCTAATACACCATGGCTCCATAAAGCACTGTATCATGCAGCACTGTAACCCATTTTTAAACATCATCCCTGTTTGGGATAAAGGTAGTGAGGAACAGGAAAATATCTTTGGAAGCATGGTCAGAAGAATGAGGAAGTGCTAAATCATTCCAATATTTGACAGAACGATGTAAGCATAACTTTCCTTAAAAAATAACTGCAATAACCAAAGGCGGCTTTTTAAATTATGGTTTTCGCTTTTCAAACATTTGTAGACTGTTAAAATACAGCCTGTGAAGACAGATCAGATTATCTGGATCCAAATGATTTGTTTCTGAGCACGTTCAGATGGTCATTTGGATGAAGATCTAAAATCTGATTCTAGATTACTATGGAAGTAACTTAAAAGATTCATTTTACATGTTTTTCAGCACTTCAAAATAGACCAATTAAAAAAATTATCAAAGAAAAAGTGAGGCAATTTTGGAAAATCATTAGTTTCCTAAAATTCATAAAGCCTGATACTTCAAAAATGCTTACCTTGACAGTGAATTGCAAGTTTGTGGAGCCATATAACGCTCTTGCTCAGAATTTTGTGTTCCAGATACCTATTTCTAAAAGGAAAACTCAAAGCTAAGCAAAACAGTAACACTCAAAAAATGCAAGTCGGTATTCTTTTGTATAGGAATATCAAGTTTCTTGAGGAATTTACAAGTTAATGAGGAACACAAAAAACCCTTTCCTTTCAGTGGATGTAACAGTCAGTATTAATCAGTCCTTCAAATTACTTTACAACTAACTGAAACCACACGGAGCAGGTGAAATAAAAGAAACTCCATATGTGACTGTTTAGGAGCTTCCAAGACACAGTTCTTGATACTCCCAAGATAAACACCACACATCATTTAAAAAAAAAAAACAACAACAACAACAAAAGTGCACCAGGGTTGCTTGGGAAATTTTTTGGATGACAAATGCTTAAAATAATTTTGACCAAGAACATGAGAGAATCACACAACAATACGGAGAATTCTAGCCCCTCTTTCCCAAAGGCTTACGAATTCTACAGTACTGCAGGAAGCAACAACTCTGCTGAAGCACCGAGCATGCTTAATCACGTTACAACTGACGGACTGTCTTAGAGCAAAAGTCTCTCCCCCCCAAATGATTGCTCATATATCAGTATACACACACTTTGGCTCCAAACTGAATTACTTTGCATGGAATGTAGGCATCTGCTC